ATGTTGGACTTAAACGTCTCTAACGTCAGATGTTAAATTCTGGTTGGAAATAAAAATTAGGGCGACATCAAAACCCAGTGTTGGTTAATTGACATTGTGATGTTTGAACAGTCTGAACAGAGAGTTTCACTTTACATCATTATTATTATTATTAATATTATTGTTATTATTTTATCTATAATTTTTCAGATGTGTGTGAAACTCAGATTTATAAACCAAATGAAAAGAAGTTGAAGATGTTGAAATCACTTTCAAGATTAAAGTATTTCATTTTAAACACACACTTTAAACACACTGTTTACTCACTGTCCCTCACACACACTTAAAAACTTTGAAGTTAGTTTAGTCGTGTGTGATTTGTCACCAGCGACAGGTGACACATCTACCTGTGCATGATGGTTCCTGTCAGAAAACGATGATGAACACAAGTAGCAAATTTGACGCAGTTGTCAAATGATTGATTGGAGCTCAGTCAAATTATATATTTCATGAAGATATTTTCTTAATAATGCCCAGTTTGGAATTATATTAAAAAAAACATCTGTCGAAGCATTTTACAAAGACTTGGTCATAACTGTTGAGTTAGAGGGAACAGGACAAGAAAGTGACTAAAGTGTCTGATGTTACAATTCTTACACTTGTTGTGGTCAGCACCATTTGTAAACGAATGAATAAGTAATTCAGGTAATGATTCATTCATCTTTTATTTTGAAATCTTGCGTACCCCAAGGCCTCCTGATAATCTAAGAGTACAATCTAAGGCTTTTTGAAAATTCCAGAGCTTTCCCATGAATGTGTGTTGACATAAACAGGTGAATGAATGTTGTGGTGACATTTGGATGATGTGTGCAGAAGGCTGACATGATGATTCATAATAACAGAAGGACAAAGTCACTATTCATTTTAGAGAAATGATCATTAGCTAGAACATATCTGCTTGATTATCAATGATTTTATCTCCATCTTTTATTCTTTATTCAGGTTGAAGAGCTGCAGTTTGTCAGAGATCAGCTGTTCTTCTCTGGCCTCAGCTCTGAAGTCCAACCCCTCCCACCTGAGAGAACTGGACCTGAGCGAAAACTGGGACCTGCAGGATCCAGATGTGAAGCAGCTGTGTGGTTTTCTGGAGAGTCCAGACTGTCGACTGGAGACTCTGAGGTCAGATATGGAGGGGAGTTGTACCACAGAGCTAGCCTTCTCTGCCTCACTACCTTCATTAGTATGTTTATTGGTACTATGAACGATAATCCACCAGATGTTTTGGACAATCGTGGTCATATGTTACAAGATGTTTTGAAGGGGAATTTTTACTTTCTACAGCTTCTTCAGCTCTGAACAGACGATGACACACTGAACGATTTCAAGCAGCAACTCACATCTTTTCTTCTTTATTCAGGTTGTGGGGCTGCAGTTTGTCAGAGATCAGCTGTTCTTCTCTGGCCTCAGCTCTGAAGTCCAACCCCTCCCACTTGAGAGAACTGGACCTGAGTGAAAATGAGCTGCAGGATCCAGGAGTGAAGCAGCTGTGTGGTTTTCTGGAGAGTTCAGACTGTCGACTGGAGACTCTCAGGTCAGACTCCATGTTTTATTTCTGTGCTCAGATTAATCTGATGTTAAAGTTGTGTTGACATCAAGACATCAGGCTGACATTATACAGAGGGTATTTCATAGTAAAGTCTGTTTTCTTCTTCTCTGGTTTTAGTCCAGGGACTGTGGCAGAGAAATGTTGAGCTAAAGGGAAAGTTCAGGTTTTTTGACGCAGGAAAAACGAGAGACGTGAGGGAATGGTCTGAAGTCATGGATCAGACTGTGACATAGTTACAAGAGTAAAACAGAACAGAAAATGAATGAATGTATTCTCATATAAGACACTATGTTTATTCATAGTCAATATGAGCCTAATCCTTCCTTCAATCAGTGATGACGTCTGTACTTGTATTAAAGTCTGAGTTAGCTACACAAGCAAAATCAGTCTCGCACAGTTAAGTAAAAACAGATCAGAAAATGACTTGAGTAAAGTTAATGTATATATCCATGAATATGACCATCATTTCAATTACAGAACAGTTCATGTAGTTTCATATAATTCATCACTATGTGTTTGATGTGTCAATTAAATGATCCAGTGTGTGACCTTTCACTCACCTTAACCAAGGTAGTATGACCTTCTGGAAATAAATGTTACTAAACCTACTTCATTTCTTCTTTATTCAGACTGAGGTCCTGCAGGTTGCCAGAGATCAGCTGTTCTTCTCTGGCCTCAGCTCTGAAGTCCAACCCCTCCCACCTGAGAGAACTGGACCTGAGAGGAAACAACCTGCAGGATCCAGATGTGAAGCAGCTGTGTGGTTTTCTGGAGAGTCCAGACTGTGGACTGGAGACTCTGAGGTCAGACTCCATTTCACCTCTATAAAAATGTCTCTTTTAGGCCAAATTGCTGCTTAGTTTTTACATTTTTCCTGATTCTGAGAAGAGAGGCAGTCCATGCATTTTACTCATTAGCATATTAATTATTCAGTTTCATTTTCTAAACTTCTAATTTCTACAGCTTCTTCAGCTCTGAACAGACGATGAAACACTGAACGATTTCAAGCAGCAACTCTGTCTCTAAACTCACATCTTTTATTCTTTATTCAGGTTGACTGGCTGCAGTTTGTCAGAGATCAGCTGTTCTTCTCTGGTCTCAGCTCTGAAGTCCAACCCCTCCCACCTGAGAGAACTGCGCTTGAGTTTCAACAAGCTGCAGGATCCAGGAGTGAAGCAGCTGTGTGGTTTTCTGGAGAGTCCAGACTGTCGACTGGAGACTCTGAGGTCAGACTCCATGTTTTATTTCTGTGCTCAGATTAATCTGATGTTAAAGTTGTGTTGACTCTAACCTGCAGACATCAGGCTGATATTATACTGATCCACACTGAGGATCTTCATTATAAAGTGTGATATATATATTTTTTGAGGACACCTCTGTGGATCATTCAGCTGCTGGTAAAACCTGCTGAACGTCTGATTCATAAGTTATCAGAGCAACAATCAGAACAAAGGTCAGCGTCAATCTCAGCTCCAACTCTTCCCTGAGTCTCTGTCCTCTGTACAGCGTCGGTGAAACTGCTTCATTCAGTGTTTTTAACAGTTAGAATCACCAGGTCTGTTTGATTTCCTGAACCACTGAAACCTTCCTCAGCTCTGAACAGACGATGAAACACTGAACGCTTTCAAGCAGCAACTTTGTCTCTAAACTCTCATCTTTTATTCTTTATCCAGGTTGAACTACTGCAGGTTGTCAGAGATCAGCTGTTCTTCTCTGGCCTCAGCTCTGAAGTCCAACCCCTCCCACCTGAGAGAACTGGTGCTGAGAGGAAACGAGCTGCAGGATCCAGATGTGAAGCAGCTGTGTGACCTTCTGGAGAGTCCAGACTGTCGACTGGAGAGTCTGAGGTCAGTAAAAGGGGTGGAGTCAGTCCTTGCTGCTTCCATCAGTATTGTACAACCCTGACACTCATTTATCTCCCCTGTTGTTCTTCTCTCAACAGCTGGAAGTAGTGATCTTTATCCAGAGTGAAGAGGACGGTGTGTGTGTTGACAGAGGATGATCTTTCTCCTGATGCTCCAGATGTTGAAGCAGCAGCAGCAGCTGGTGTGCAGAGAGGCTGTGACTGGAAGGTGGAGAGGAGAGCTTCATCCAACAGTGACTGACGGAGGAATCAGTGGAGGTTTTTACTCTGAACCCAAACTGACTCTTAAGATTAGTTCTGTTTATGACAACATAACAATTATCACTATTTTTTGCACTTAGCTTTTAATTGTGAGAGAGAGAGAGAGAGAGAGGGAGAGAGAGAGAGAGGCTGGAAAGTTAAGGGACAGAGCTGCTGGGGCTCCCCAGATTAACACTGTTATTTCCAGTTGCAGCTCTTTGGAAGAAGATCTTGGTCTTTTATGTTGTTAGAGTTCTGACTTTAATCTCTTCCGTACAGCTCCACCCTGTGGAATGATGGAGTACTGCAGTTAATTTCCAGCTTCCAAACAACAGGGGAAGTTGATATTGCATGTATAAGTTTACCTTTTCTGAAGTTATGGCCTCCAATACTAGCTTTGTTTCATACTATAACAGATACATATTAAAACTTTAACAGGCATTATCTGTTTGCCCAGAGTTGAGCTGCATGTCATCACCTCTCTCGCTCTTTCCCTGGCGCTCTCTCACTGTCCCTATCCAATCATGTGTTTGTTTTTTTTGATGGACTAATACGCCCTAATATAATGTGCAGAAGTCTTTATATGATTAGCGAGGTCGTGCTGATTCTGGGATGTGTAAAACTTTGATACTCTAAATGACAACTTTATAACTTCAATATTTTCATTGCTACTTTAAGACGCACTATAGATGCACTATACACAAGATACACTATGTAGAAATAAAATTATTGTCCAAGACAAACGTGAGGACTGAAAGTTAGTTTCTGGTTTCGCAAACTACTTTTACATTCCTTTAAAAACAAACCTTTACAGTTTTGTGTGTGACAACACAGACAAGAAACTAAACCTGTGGAGCTTTTTAGTTATATTGTTAATTATTGTTCTTTCTTTTTTTTTAAACCAAAAAACATTGTTAATTATATTGTTATTATTATTAAGATTTTGTCAATTTAATCCAAAAAAATAAAAAAAATATAACAAAGAGTCAAAGGCTCTGAGTCTTACATATTAATTTGGTGATTAGTTTTTAATAATCACTCAGGATGTTTCCTCTGAGACAATAAAAAAGGTGTTTGAAATGAACATATATTTTCTTCTTTGTTCTTTGTATTGAAGTGAAGTGAAGTGAAGTGAAGGCTCATATTCTGTTGTATAAAGTCCATAAAGGTGTTTGGGGCTGAGCGATGAACTCGTGGACATATTGGGTAAAAATCAGCTGCTTGTTCTTCACAGAACCAGCCGGTAAATTCCTGCTGGAAATGAAACTTTGAAGTTTTATAATTTTCTTTATCCAACATCAAACAATGAAATGGAAACTACAACTTTAATGTTTATCCAACAAGATGGCGGCCATGTTGGCAGGTCAGCTGTACCCTGTAAACAACCACGATGTGGAGCTCCACAACTCATTTCACATTTTACAACAATTAAAGCTAAAATGCTACACAATAAAACATTTACATTCAGTGTGACTCGTCAGTGGCATTTCTACGGAAGCTGAGTGGTGGCGACATTGATCATTTATATTTTAGACTCATTGGTTCATCATTAAGATTTAAAAGCTCATGTTCTCAAGAAAACTGAGTCTGTGTTTGTGTTGCTTATATATGAGATCAGGACGAACTGTTGCCTCAGAATCATGACGTAGATCAATAATTACTGAGCGTTGCAGAAAGAGCTTTTTAGAGAAACAGCAGAGATTCACTCTTCCTTACATAAAGGCATGATTTGTTATCTTTAGAGAATGAGATGAATAATTAATATCCAGGAGAATAATCATCAGCAGCCCTCAGCTTCCGTACATTTGCACTTATAGCAGTAACAAGCAGGAATAGTGAACAGTGACCAGTAACAGTAAATCAGGGTTTGGCTCATTCTCGTCAAGTAAAGGGGAGAATAAAAAACATTTTCAGACCTCAGTAAAAATTCATCAAAACTGCTCCACGTTTAAAAAAACAAACAAAATTAAGCTTAATTAACTATTTCAAGTCATGAAAAAACAGAAGGTTTTCACTGATCTGACTTTAGATTTTTTGTTATTTAACTGACGACAAACTTTACTAAACCTTCTTTCATAAAAACACTTGTTTCTTTTCAGTATGTTAATCATTCACCACGTGAACAGGAAGATTCATCTTTACACCATTATTCCAGAGTGCATCCATCCCTCCCTCCATCCATCCATCCCTCCCTCAATCCCTCCAGTCAGTCTCTAGTCAGTGGATGGAAACTCGCCTCCTTCTATGTACACGACAAAAGCACGAAAGAAACGGAGTTTTCAATTAAAATTATTGCCAAATGTTTGATTGGTAATGTATCGCTCATTTCATGATTTAACAAGATAGAGTGATGTGATGTTCTCGTTTAAAACTGAATCATTTGGCGTCTAATTACTAGAAAAACGTGAACGTATTTAGCATTTATAAGTAACATAATACTTAATACATAGGCTCGTTTATAACACTAATGTAGCTGTAAGCAGATCTAAGAGTCTATTAATGCAGTTGTTAACAGCCCTGACTCCTGTAGACACCCACAGGAGGAAGCTGCTGTATAAACAAACAGCTGTAATAATAGAAAATGTCTGAGAGATTAAACAAAGAGTGAACATTAAGAAATACTTAAACATTAGATACTTAAACAAGCTGCTTACAACAACATCATCGTGTGTTCAAACCTTTTGTTAAATGTTTATATACTGATTAAACATGCTAAACACTTTCAAACTTGGAACTTGTTATATCAAGAAACTGAGCAAATGTTTTTTTGTCATGGCAACAGCAAAATGAATCTGTGGCACAGAAGTTTAAAAACGTAACTCCAGCTGTTGCTGTGGAGCTGTAGAGATCTGGAGGATGTGCTGCAGAGCCTCCACGCCACCAGCAGGGGGCGCCACTGCACTCCTGATGCACTCTTTATTATTATCAAAACTATTCTTACATGTGAATTATGAGTTGGAGATCATGTTGTTTTTTCTGTGATAATTATAATTATAAAATGCTAATTGCAAAAAAACTTCCTGCACATTTTTAAACCTCTGAACGTTTAACTTAAAACAACGTCCTCATTTTATTTCCATCAAGCTCCTGTTTTCAGTATCAACAAACCTGCTCATGCACAAACTGAGGGAAGGATGCAGAGGAGAGATGAAAACAACAGGGATTTAATGTGTTTTTACGCCCCTCCGTTTGTGTCTGGATCCTCCAGCAGCGTCGCTCCCAGAGGCCTCGGTCCCAGCTGGAGAGGTTAACGACAGCGTTGTGGAGAACGGCGTTTCTGTGGGTTTTGTTTAGAAAGTTGCGTCTCGACAGCTGTTTGGTTTCCGTGGTGTTCCCCCAACAAGTTCATGCAGCAACTTAAAAGTTGAAGGAAACGTCCGGTTTGTGAGCAGAAGGTTGTCGGTTTTGAAAGAGTCTGGCTCTGGGCTTCCTCACTAACAGCTGTCACAGTGCCATTGAGCAACACATGGTGTGCAGGTTCAGTTCCAGTGTAGCTGCAGAATGTGATGAGTCAGCGTTTTCCTGAACAAATTAACAGTTCAAAAAGCTAAATTAAATACTGTCAGCAGCCTGAATCAAAGGAGGCCACAGCTCCAGTTTGCATGTCTGAAGGTTGCTGCCCTCTAGCGGACAGGTGCGTGCAGTGCAGCTCCCAGACCCAGGTACTCCAGGTTCTCTGCTGCCGGGAGGAACACACCGTTACCGCTTAAAGAAGTAGCTGTGGTGGCCTGGGGCAGGAAGTCAGCCTGGTAGTCGGGGTTGTCGAGGCTGTCGCCGATGGGCAGGGGAAGTGAGTTTTGGGCGGTGTTCAGGTATTCTGGTCCCTCGGGAACTCGGCTTGAGGGCTTCAGATCCGCCTGTGGGAAGGAAAGTGAGGCGGCGCCCCAGCTCAGGCTGAGGTCCTCATAGTTGGGATTCAAAACCTCAGACAGTCTGCTGCTCCGGCTGGTGTCACTCACACTCTGGTTCATGTACTCTGGAGCACAGAAAAGAAAGAAAACCTTGATTTAATCACTGATTTATTTACCTGGAGAACACATGGTTATTGATTTGGTGTTATTTATCGTGTTTTTCTTTACGTCTGTTTCCTTGACAGGTTCTGTCGCAACAAACTTTTTTAATCGTATTATTTTATGATAGCGTCATTTGAATAACGTTTGGTCGACAGTCCACACAGACGTGTACCATGGCTGGGGAAGTCTTCCTTATCCAGGGCGTTGTGAGTTGGGTCAGTGATGTATCGCAGAGCGATGCTGTTCTCTCTGACTGGATGACCGTTCTGATGAAGAGAGGCAGTGAAATGGATTTGTTCAGACTCATAGAATAACACAAGAAGAAAAGGTAAAGAGCACAACAGCACGACGCATTAGAGAGTTGATCTGAAGCCGATATGAGGCTTCAGCAGTCTGAGTTACAGTCCTCAGTATCAAAGTCCCGCTTTGTTTCCTCAGATGGCGTCTTCCTGCTGCAGAGGAGGGATTCCCAAGGACTGCTGACTCTGTCTCCATCACTTAGAAACTTTTACTGTCCAGTGTGAACAGGAGGAGCAAGAAAAACCTGCTTCAGTCTTTACACGGACTGTAGTTTTAAGACTAACGTCCTGAGGACTGATGGAAAAGTGTGTGTGTGTGTGTGTACCGTGGCATTGCAGGGATGGTTGTCATGGGTACCCACTACTTTGTAAGGGAGCAGGTATTCTTCAACGTCGACCACGCCCTCCGTGTCGTCTGAGCTCAGCAGGCGAGAGTAAAACCTGCTGTCTGACGGACTGGGAAGGTCACCCTGAGACGTCAGATCAGATCACATGATGTTCAGTCTTTGAAACTTATGGCAGCTTAGAATGAACTAAAAATCACAACCCAGTTTGGGTCAATACAACAGCAACACTGCACTGGGCCCAGTATCGATGATTCTTTTGACCCAGTTTAGGTGCAACTTTCTAATATTACTGTTGTGTCATTTACTCACACTAAACTACAGCTGTCTTGAACCAGAACACAAGAAGCTACAAAGGACTTAATATCATTAACAGTCAGTACAAACTAGTGACAGACAGTTTTCACTAATGTCGGGACATTGTCTGTCGGATGTTCATGGATCTCGTATATTCACTTGGTGAGCACCATCTTATTATTATCTGATAGAAATGATGTTCAGAACTTACAGCTTGAATTGTTATAAACAAGAAAGTTCCTGAACTCAAACACACACACTTGTTTACCTGTATGACCAGGTATCTGGACGGGTCTCTGGCCATTTTAGAGAACTCCACTATCAGCTCTCTGAACCGGGGGCGACTGGACGGCTCGATCATCCAACCTGAGGGGAGGGAAGTTATTGTGTGAATTGTCTCAATGCTTATTGGACAGTTGTCCTTAAAGTTCGTCACACATTCATGTTCCCCTGTGGGTGACTTGTCATAACTTCTCTTACATTTGACCATGATCATATAGACGTCGATGGTGCAGATGGGCGGCTGAGGCAGCCGGTCTCCTCTCTCCAGCACCGAGGCGATCTCACTGGCCGGGATACCGTCGTACGGCTTGGAGCCGAACGTCATCAGCTCCCACACCGTCACACCTGCGGACCACAGACTCAGGTCGGTGGAATTACATCCACACAAATCCAAACAGATGCTTTCACACAGCTGCTCAGGTGTGCGGTGATGCACCGGTACTGATATTTTTCAAAAATCAAATGTTGATATCGTGTTAATAATAATGTGTAATTGTTGTTTTTGTTTGTTTTTGTGCAGACTCGCTCCCCCCGCCTCCCCACACCTGTATTTAAGTCAGATTCTTTTTGTGTGTATAGATGTTGTTGTGAACAATAATCACGTAATGAAAATCTGTTTGGAAAAATCAATAACCTCTGAATGTCACGTGACGGCGTCAGATTAGACAGACTGGAACCGTCAGTGCCGAGGAGAGAAAGTACTAATGTTGCTTTTTAAAAAGCTGCTTTAAAAGCTTCACCTGTCCTGAAGCTCAACAGCAAAGACTTAAATCCGTTTGTTTGTTGTTTGCTGTTTGTTTGTTTGTTTGTTTTCAGTTTGTTTCCGGCTCCGGTCAGAGCAGGTCGACGTCACTCACCGTAGCTCCAGACGTCACTCTGATGTGTGTACGTCCACTGGAGGATCGACTCCAACGCCATCCACTTAATGGGAACCTGCAGAGAGAGAGTGGAGGAGGGAGACGAGGCTTCACTACTGAAGGACCATCACTTCATCTGTGTCCAGCACAAACAGGTTCAGGATGTGTTTAGCCTAGCTTAGCACAAACACACACACACACACACACACACACACCTTTCCTCCGTCAGCGTGATACTCCTTCTCATCAGCTGTCAGCAGCTTGGCGAGGCCGAAGTCTGTGATCTTGACGTGGTTAGGAGTTTTCACCAGGACGTTCCTCGCCGCCAGGTCTCGATGCACCAGGTGCCGATCCTCCAGGTAGCTCATCCCCTGCACACACACACACACACACACAGATTTAAAGTGGGTGTTGAGACCAAAAACAAATTCTACTTTGTACCTTTTTAAATATGTTTTATTTATTTATTTCATTCATTATTTGATCTCATTTCTCTGGTTCTGTTAACAGACGTGCTACACAATTTATTATTATTATCATTATTATTATTATAATTATTATTATCATTATTATTTCTATTGCTTGTTATTTTGTGTGAATACAGCATGAGTCGGTTTAAAGCGGAGCTATATTGATGGCTGCCTCCCGAAGCTGCAGGATGCACATGAACACTAGGGGCAGTGTGGAGGCAGTGGGATGTGACCTGGAAGCTGCTGCTGGAAGTATTGGTATTGTCAACCTCCTCCAGCGTGGCCGTGTTTATGGTTTACATCCTGTAGTCTTGTTCGGTCTGAGCGCTCTGTGGTCTGCCCACCAGAGGTTTCCTCCGGTGTTTGAAAAGCGGGTTTATGTCTTTGGGTTTATCTCCGGCTTCACGCTCCATCAGGAACAGGTCATAAGACGAGGAGTCCGACCTCAGTGGAAATCAGAAGCGTTGACAGTTGTTGTGAACATCCACACGTGAAGATGGAGCAAGAAAACGCACAAATTCAGTCTCGTCCGGGAGACGCTGAGAAATGTATGAGTTCAGACCCTTTCTCACCTCCACACAGCCGACCAATCACTGAGGGAGCTGGGTGTCCTAACCTGACAGTGGAGGGGGTTTCTGAAGCTAATCCCCCCCCCCAACACACAGCAGCAGCTCAACGTAGCAGAACAAGATCAAGGTTTCACACTGAGCTCATGACCTTGTTGTTCCAGATTTTCCCAGCATTTAAAGATCCAAATCAGACTAAAGCAGAGATTGAGTAGATTAACACTCTCTCCACACACACACACACACACACACACACACACACACACACTTTGCTGCTGTGTTCAGGCTAATAGGCCTCTGCAGGCTTAAAGTGAGCTGCAGACAGAGCTGGTGCCTGAGGTGGAGACGAAGGAAGATTTTCTTCTTCGAGGAATCTAAACTGAGACACGAGCTCAGGAGCAAAGGCTTCAACTCAGATGATTTACAGTCAGACTCCGTGAGAGAAGCCGTTTATCTGGACCCACCTTGGCGATCTGGACACACCAGTTCAGCAGCCACTGGGCGCCGACGTGGTCCCTGTGGTGCCGGACGTAGTCCAGCAAGCAGCCGTACGGCATCAGCTGAGTCACCAGCTGGACCGACGACGTCAGGCAGATTCCCAGCAGACGACACACGTGAGGGTGATCCACGCTCGCCATTACATACGCCTCCTGTGCGCACACACGCACGCACACACACACACGCACGCACACGTTAGTGTTTGAAACATCTAAAGGATGTCCTGAAAATGATTAGAGGAGGAGGAATGCAGGAGATTTAGTCTTCAGAGATCAATACACTTTATTAGTGTTTTGTTTAGCTTTATTTAGAGATTCATTCCCTTGAATTACTTCATTTCTTCATTCACGTTAATAACTTGACTCCTCTGCGAAGTGCCACCTGATTCTATCCATGAATCTCAAAGAGAAACTGTTTCATATCCAAACTGAATGAACCGGAGGACGGAGGCGTCTGATGAACTTTCAATCCAAGGGAGTGAAATACTAAAATACATGAAGAGCAATTATAGAGGAGGAAGAAAGAAGAAGCAGAGAAACAAGAAGATGAAGGTGAGGAGAAGAAAAAGAAGAATCAAAGGGAGAAAACCAAAGAGAGGAGCCTCACATCCAGGATTTCTTGGTTGGCTTTAGGTGATGTGGCCTCTCTGAGAACTTTGATGGCTACTGGGATCTTCACGTTCTCTCCCTCAGGGATCCACAGACCCTGAACACACAAACCAGATCACACAAACCTGCGTCTTCACCCTAATTCTTTTACCGAACAGCAAATGATGGCTTCACTAAAAACACCGTCAGGTGAAGTTTTGTGTGTTACCTTGAAGACGGTCCCAAAGGCCCCGGAGCCGAGCACCCGGACCTTCTTAAACTCCGTCTCCTTCAGGATCCTCAGCAGCGCCTGGTTAGGAGCTTCACCGCTCGGAGTCAGCGGCTCCACCAGCTGATGGACAGACGGATAGACAGATAGATAGATTCAATATTTGGTGACAGTCTTGGTTAACAGAACTAACGCCGGCCTCTCCCACCTCTCTCTCCTGCAGCAGTCGCCGCAGTGTCCTCTTCCTCCTGATTCGCCGTCGCCGTAGCAACACAAAGATGACCAACGACACGATGACGGCGACCAAGAGCCCGCCAACCACACCCGCCGCCAACGTGGAGTGTGTGGCAGCCCTGAGAGGACACACAGAGCACAGGAGGTTTGTGTTTTACATCATGGTGAGATACACAGTAAAGTCACGTATAATTCTATTACATTTAGTTGGTGTAGAACTAACAAAGATGTCCATTCAACTCTATCACTATATATAATGTAAGTAGACTTCAAGTTTAGTTCAGAAGAATTCCCACTGACGTCCATTCAGATTTACTGTGTTATTATAGGTGCAATTCCCACTGACTGACACTGAAACCAAACACAACACTGCACAATTCAAGTTTCAACTCAGATTCAAATTTAGAACAATAATTCAGAAGACTGACTGACATTCACATCTGACGCTGCAACCCTCAGATCTAAAGTTAGCCCATTCACACCTGGCTCATTGAATTGCAGGACTCTCGTTAGTGAAGCAAAGAGAAGCGAAAGGCTGTTTTAATGTGCTGACGACAAAATTCAACTTATTTTATCCTGTTTTATTGTATTTTATTTTATTAGCACATACATATTTAGAATAATAAGTTCAAACAAACGTAACATAATGTAACGTAACATAACGTAATGTAACGTAATGTAACATAATGTAACATAATGTAACGTAACGTAATGTAATGTAACATAATGTAACGTAATGTAATGTAATGTAACGTAACGTAACATAATGTAACGTAATGTAACGTAACATAATGTAACGTAACGTAATGTAACGTAACGTAATGTAACGTAATGTAACGTAACGTAACGTAATGTAACGTAACGTAACGTAACGTAACGTAACGTAACGTAACGTAATGTAACGTAACGTAATGTAACGTAACGTAACATAATGTAACATTACGTAACGTAACGTCACGTCAGGGTAAACCAAGTCATGAGTATTTTACCCAGTGCATCCAGACAGTCCAGGACCTGAACACCTGCAGAGACAGAGAACACCTTCAATCCATGATTCACTCCTGTTGATTAATATAATTAATAATAATTAATTCACATCAGAGTCATCGGACGCTGAACCGCGGCGCAGTGACAGTCTCACCCCTGGGTGCAGTTCTGGTGGCAGGACTGGCACTGGCCCGTGCTGTCGGGGTATTTCCAGATCAGCGTGTCTCCGTCTCCCGGCACACCGTGGGGGCAGCGCCACACGCAGTGAGGGCCGTCTTTAAAATGGGCGCACTGGGAACACTGGTCCGGACCCTGGGGGGGGGGTCCAAAATATTGTGAAAAAACAAATATATAAAATATCAGATGAAATTTTATTTTCATTATTTTCCATTTGATCATTTCTGTTTAAATTCTGCTAAATATTTAGTTTCATGTCGCCACATCACATCATCCTTTCTCTTGTTTGAATTTAGATTTTCATTTTAGAGATTGAGCATTTTTTTTTTATAATTTATAAAATGAATCATAATATTCATCATATTTTACATACAAAAGAGCTTTAAATGATTATTGATCATTATTTGCATCAAATGCAAAAGTTATGTAATTTGAGCATGAACAAATGATCTAAACTCAAAGGCACACTTACTACCTTTTGGAACCACATGTCACGGTCTTATTCAGCTGAGGAAGACCATGCAAATGAGGCCAGAAAGGCAAAGTGAACCTTGAGTTGTGATTATTTTTGCTCATAACTGATCTCATGGTAAAGCTCAGATTAAGATGAGATCCAGATGTGCGTGTGACAGACAGCAGCTGGACTGACCGGCCCGCGGCAGGTCGGGATCCCGGTCTTCATCAGACACTCTGGGTGACACTCGACGCAGCTGCTGTTCACCTCAACCTCTCTGGGCTCACTGCAGAGAGAGAGAGGGTCAGGGGTCAGGGGTCAGGGATCAGGAGGCTCTAACAGACGCTCTGTCAGCCAGCCGTTAAGACGCTGCAGTAAATGTTCATTGTGCCGTTCACACTTCTGTTCTTTAGAGCACAGCCCCTCTCACCCCTGCAGCAGGTGACAGAACGGCACACAGCGCCCCCTACGGTCAAAGTGGCGACAGGAGACACACATGGTCGGACCTGGACCCCAGCAGCCCCCGGCTGTACACTGCTCGTCACAGGTTCGATTCTGCTGTTCTGTGAGAGAGAGAGAAAAAGATTTTATTTGTGCGACTTGACTGAAACGGAGGAAAACTCACATCCAGTAACTCACCGCAGTCGTCGGCGGGAGCGTTGTTGCGTATGCTGATGGTCTGGTCGGTGGATCGGAAGAGGCGGAGCCACTGCTCGCGTTGGGCGTAGCAGAGCTGAGGGTTGTCCTTCAGCATCACCTTCCCAGCGCTCACCTCCTTCAGAGAGCGCAGACCCAGCCAGCGGAGGTGCTTCGCTCTCACCACCGCCAAACTGTGGAGACTGGAGAGGGCAGAGGTCACGTGAGGGTGCGTTTGTGGAGGGGGGGTGGGACATGGTCGAGTCCTGGTTGATGAGTGGTTTGTCTAACAACCCTGAAGATGATGTTCATGTGACGCGTTGAGCACAGCCTAGTTATCTTTCTAAGAAACACAACAAAGAGTTGCTTCTATTGAATGAATCCGTTCAACATGTTACAGGAACCATCGTTCCCTTTCAGCCGCCACTGACAGAAATGTTGGCGGCCCCAGAACTGTACGAGTACATGATGCTGTCATTGGCTCATCACAGCGACAGGCTTTACTACGCAGAGAGAAAAACAAACAATGAAAGGAGTTTAAAAACGGTTTCAATCAGTTTGTTTTAAGAAAAAATCTATATTGTTAAAATTGTTCTGTTGTGCAAATGATTTGTTGTCCCACTTGTAATACCTCCGTGGGCCACCAGTGGGCCCCAGCCCACAGGTTGGAACCACTGCTCTGACAACATCAGCTTGTAATTTGGGCTGAAGGCTGATGTTCAATGTCATTGATTAACTGTGGAGCAAGTTTTAGCTTTCTGCATGTTTCTGCATTTCTGGATATACAAGATAAAATATGCAAAAATAAAAAATGGCACAGTCCTTTAAAATAACTGTTGCAATAAAAAGAAAATCAATATAATATAATAAATATAAATATAAAACCTCAGATATTGGACTGAACATCACTGACAGTTGGTCTCATTATGGACTCACGAGCGCGTCGTTCTCCCTCGGATGATCTCCAGGTTCTCGAACACCGACAGCGAGGTCAGATTCTCTGGCCAGGACTGGATCAGCAGGAACCCTGGAGGACACGAGGAGGTACAGGTTTAAACTTTATTTACACTGACTGAACGGACAGAACAGTGTCACTGCTGAGGAGCGGCGCTGGTGAACTTTGACCTACCGGTGATCTCCCTCACTGTCCTGAAGTACTCCAGCTTCTCCGGGGCCATGGGCGGGATTTTATAGTGTGCGTCCCTGGAACAGCCAATCAAAACAATCCTCACTTTCAAATGACTGATGTGGAAGCGGTTCAGAAATCTCACGACTTTTACTGCAGATCAGGAAATGAACATGTGAACTGAAATGTGGAACCTCCTGGACAGGAAGTAGTTCCAGTGAAAAGGTATTGTCACCAACAAACTCATGTTTGGATTCTCTGAGTCGTTCTTTGGAGCCGTGATCGAGGCAAACACAATCTCACCCGGTGAACGAGGTTTCAATGAGCGAGATGTCCCCGTTGATTTTAGTGCAGTTCCTGAAGGATTCGATGTTGGAGGCGTTCACTGCCATGGTTTTGATCAGAGAGCCGACCCCGACTCCGTCACAGGCTGCAGGGGAAACAACACTCTGTCAGGTTACCTGTCTAGGACTCGGGTGTCTCTCTCTCTCTCCCTCTCTAGGTCGCTCTACCTTTGGGACAGGGTCCATCACAAGCTTTGCAGCGTTGGACTCCGTTCTCCTCCACCTCGTACATTCCGGCGCCGCAGGTTCGTACACACGAGCCGTCCGTCACCACGTAGTTATCTGTACACAGAGGCAAGCGGCGTCAGCCCTGCAGCAGAGGTCTGCTCTCACTCTACCCCCCGGGCAAAAACTGGACCCCCTTTCCATATCGGTTCAATGATCACCCCCGGCACCCGCAAACCAAGCTGCACTCTTGATTAACAGAAGAACTGATTCATTGTTTCACTGGTAGCAGCTTCTCAGGTGTGAATCTTTGAATCTCTGAATGTTCACTTCAATTCATCAAGTATCTGATGCTGAAGACAACAGCCTCACACTTGATAAAACACAACTTTACAACAAATCTAAACCAAACCCCAGAGTCCGTCTACAGGCCGGGGTCGGACCTAACTGTCATGGTCTCGAACTTCAGAGACAAACTGCGATTAATAAAATGATGTAGACCCAATGACATGGAGTAAATCTGGGGTTTAGTTCTGTCCAACATCTTCATATTGTGGCTGTTAAAACCACCGCAGCCTTTAGAACAAATCACAAGGTTCAACTCAATAAATGAAAGGGTTCAAAGGTCGTACGTGGGCAGGCCTTGACGCAGGTCGCCCCGAAGGTGAACTTGGCGTTGGGGTTGTTGACCACCTGGTGAGTTTTGGGGTCGTAGAGTTTCAGCGGAGGACAAGTATCTTTACAGGTCCCGTCGTCATTAAAGTCCCTGCAGGCCTGAAGAAGAGGTGGAGAGACAGTGAGAAAGACAGGAGCTGCATTCGCTTCCTTTTTATTATAACAGGAATAATAATAATAAGTAGTTTCTCTGTGTTCGTCATGGTTTCTTCTTCGTGGATGTAGACGAGCGGAGTTTGCTGTTAGTAGTGAAATAAATGATTAGGTCTGGACTAGATTTACATGATTCACTGGAATCAAGAATTTGAGGTTAAGACTCGTCCTGACTAAAGGTTTTTCATCTGTAAGACTGATGAGCTCCTGAGCTCGAGGCTGGACGAGATCAGAGAGCGAGCAGACTGACGGATACGAAGCTGGTTCCACCAGAGAGGGAGCAAACACTAAAACTGAACTCAGAGCAGCTGACAGGCGTCAAGCTGGGTGAAGAGCACATGATGATTTATTTAGTACGGAAAACAAGTAAAAGTTCTTAGTTGGACTCTGTCCTGGACCGGCTTCAGGTTCTAGCCGGTCTTCAATGGGACCTGATCTGGACTTGCCTTTCTTCACTTGGGACTTGAGACTTGTCTGTCTCCGTATGAAGACCTCACCTGTCTTCATACGGGACTTCCTCGTATTTCAGAGCTTACTTAAATTTTTGTTTGTTTGTTTGTTTGTTTGTTTGTTTGTTTGTTTGTTTGTCCCAGACGTTTGTAAACACCTGCAAACTGTCACAACCAACAGAGTGAAGGGCTTTAGTTCTGGTTCAGGATAATGCAGACTACAGTTTCACACACACACACACACACACACTGACCAGGCAGTCGGTGGCTCGAGGTCCAGTGCAGCCGGCAGCACAGTGTTCGTTACAGCAGTCGATGGGTTTGGGCCCCCGACACCTCCCGCTGCACTGCTCCGCACACTGCAACTTAGTGACTGGTGGAGACGCAGGGAGACGGTTCATTACACATCTGATAATGATGTTTCTTTCTTTCTTTATCTGCTGGAACATTCAAACAGCTGGAAATCATCTGCACAAAGAGGCAGAGGTTAAAGTGTGAAGTGTGTCAGTGACGGAGGAGGGAGAAAGAAAGATGTAGATGTGTGTGTGTGTTTACATCTCTGACAGTGATCCGGTCCTGCCGCCCAACACGAACCGTTAACACACCCCGGGTCACACTTCTCACCTGGAAACACACACACACACACACACACACACTCACACATAGTGAGTGAAACCCTTCAGATCACAGCTGAAAGAGTAAAATACAAAAATGTCACGTCATCATTTTTCTACATACATTGACGGGCAAATGTGTCCATCTTGAAAAGCATCATGGGATTGCTGTTTTTGTCCAGGATGTCCCACCACTGGATGGTCTCAGTGTTACACAGCAAAGGATTGTGGGTCATCTTCACCCCTCCTTTCAGGACCTCTGTGAGGAAGACGATGGACACGCATCATAAATGACTGAAGGTTTTAGCAGAAAAGATTTTCAGGGTTCAGATCCAAAGAGGAATTTAAGTCCCAAGTCTTCAGAGAGTCAAACACTCACGTTCTGATTTCATGACAAAAATCTAACTTTTATTCCAAAAGAGAAACAGTGAATCTCCCTCCAGCTGAGCTGAGAGAAAACCCATCCAGAAACCAGCAGGTATCTATGTTTCGGCTGATTGGACGTGACTGCGTGCGATCTCAAATCCCGCCTTGCACATTGAAGATTTCCTTCTGTTTGGCATCTAGTTTCTCCCAGATATCCAAACCTGTTCTCATCTCTGAGATGAAAATACGCAGCTGGATGATGCTGATGCTTCACACCAGAACTGGACATTTCAACCGACGAACTCCCCTTCAGGACCCCAAAACCGACCCGGTGCCACTCCTGTTTGTAACCAGCAGCTTCCTGTTTTCTCCTGTGATACCGGAGTTACTTCCTGTTGCTGGTCGGCTGCGCTCCAGGGTCTGGACGTCCTGGAGGTGGAGCAGGTTGTTGGCAGAATAATTGTGGAGTTGTGGGTAAAATGTGGCTCTGCAGAACAGGTGGACTGCACACAGAGTCTGTGCACGTTGCCAGGAGTTGGTGAGCTAGCGGAGCGGCTGTGACGTTCACAGGCCGAAGAGGCCGAGGTCCAGGAGCTGAGAGGCAACAGTGGTAAATGTGGCCTTTTCCTGCAGAGTCGGTGCTGGGAGATGAAAACATCCTGTATCTTGACGTGTTGGTGTGTGCGGTCGGTCTCATCGGGACAATCAGGGACGGGCGTCCGGAGTGTGTGTCATTGGCTGCGGAGCGTGTTGCCCTTCAGAGTTCAAGTCTGACGTCACAGAGATCAAGATTAACTCATAGTCAGAGTCGCGGCGTGCTTCCTCTTCCTGAGGCATCAAACTGAACAAACAGCCACGTGTGAAGAAAGACGTGATTAAAATGATCATCAAACAACATCAGTGGGATGACAGCTGTAAAGGTTTACTGTGAGTGTAATCCTTTTAAAAATAAATAAATCTAAAGAATAAATTGACTGAAAAATACTTGTATCAAGATCCTTTTCTACAATTAAACCATTATCACATGACATCAGACATGATCTGTCAAAACCACGACTCAAGTTCCTGCACATCCTCCAGGAATCTACAGCTACAGAGCGGCAGGCGCCTCCTTCCCGCCAACACAGAGCTTCCTGTCAGAGCAGTTCATACAGCTGGAGATCTGGAGTAGCTGATGGAGTAAAGCCTCCACACATAAAGCATCTACGTCACCAGACAAAGCTCTTGCGGGTGCGGTCTATTTCCTGCTGCCAGAACACAGTCTGGTGTTGAGTGAAGATTTTTAAACAGTGTGGCTTGAAAAGGGAGATGAAGCAGAAAACAACAGTAAATAAGAAAAACACTGGCGGCCGCAGGAGCTCGTCTTGTCAACGAGGAATTACAATATAAGCGGTTGTTTTTACACATTAACACCCACAATCCCACAGTCTGATCCACATGGTGGGTTTTATCACTTCTCAGAGATGAGCCAGTGATTTAATAAAGGCTCCACTTTCTGACTGAAGGTCCCGAAAGATCAGGTAAAGGTGCAGTAAGTAACTAGTACATCAGCGTGTGTTCAAACCACGTCACATGAAGGATCCTTACAGCACGGCCTCCACCTGATCAGACGTCTGCTTTTAGATGCTTTTTTACAGAAAGTGTTTGAAACTCACGACTGAAGTATTCAAATGTTCTGTCACTGTGTTCCTTATGGAGGGAAATAAGCCCCCAGGAGCCCCCAGGAGCCCCCTGAAGGCCCCTGAGAACCACTGCTCTACACTACAGGTAACTATGGAATAACTAAACCCTTTTAGGATCGAGGTAAAAGACGCGTTGAGAGGAAACTGCTTTTAAAGCTGAACACGTGACATGACACGTGACATCTGTTTTCACTCCTGTTTTTAACTGGCCACTGTGCTGCTTTTCTCACACAGACCTGGCAACCCTGAAGCTGGCAGAGTCGGCCCGGACCCGAGCCCCTGAACTACCCACTGGATCTGTGTATTTACAGGGAGCCCCACACTTCTAATGGCCCCTGAACTACCCACCAGCTCAGTGTTTGCTATGTTGGGAAAACTTGGTCTCCTCTGGCCACGTGTGTGTGTGTGTGTGTGTGTGTGTGTGTGTGTGTGTGTGTGTGTGTGTGTGTGTGTGTGTGTGTGTGTGTGTGTGTGCTCATGGCAGATGTTTATGTTCATACCGGTCAGACTGCTGAGCTGCAGCTGTCTCAGGCCGCTGGTGTAGTTGAGCGTTGCAGACGAGAGGTTCCTGTTGTAGTTGGACATGACCAGCAGAGCGTACTGGCCTTCGTAGAGGTTCTGGCCTCGGATCAGCCTCAGATTGACCAACGGGATGGTCGCGGCTTCGTTCATGGCGATCAGGACGTAGCCACTGACTTCCTGTATAGACTGAGTTAATGATGGAGAAGAGGATGAACGAGTTCGCTTAAAGAAATCACTGATATTTGTTTTCGCAGGAACATTTCATGGATGTTTTTTCAGCTCAGTAAAAGAAACATAAAAATCACATTTACTTTAAATTCCTCCTCTGCATCATCCGTCAGTCTTTAGGTTGATTTCCTTCCTTTGAGGCAGCCGCTGGCTTCACTTCACTTTAAGATCAATGGTTATTAATTTTTAATTCATTCCATTATACAGACAAAGTCTGTTGCTGTCTGGAAATCGGTGTGACCAATCTGATGTTGCAGCTGTTTTCTGTCTCATCTAATTTGTGCAGCGTTATTGAGTTATATCTTTCTGTTGAACTTGTTGAAGAGTCAGAGCTCTGAGTGATGGAAGGATTTAATCAAAAAATATCAGACTTCCCTGGATTCTGCAGAGATTACAGGTCGCCTCTGTATCTTAAAAAAGCTGTTCACACGTAAATGATCGATTTAGGAAATTCCCTGAAATGAGCAGTTTGTTTGAGACGGAGGTTTCATTCATCAGCTTCACAGTTACACGACTGTTTCCTGGACGAGCAGCTGAGAGCAGCGACTGTGTTGAACTCCCTCTGTCGATGTGATGAAGGGCGCTCTGACCTTTTTGAGAAAAGCTCCTCAAGGCAACGCACTGTTTGGCATTTTACCATCGGTTCACGGATGTCGGAGCATCCTCAAACGCAACACAAAGGCAGTTTTGAAAATGGTGCTTACTCACATCTGCAGCACCGCGGGAGGGAAACGTCACTCTGACACTGACAGAAATAAAGAGGGACAGAAACACGCTGCTGTTCAAAGGAAGAAGCGGAGACTTGACTCATGATTCACTGTGACATTATTAGAAGAAAACTAACAGGAGCTCGGTTTCCCTCACACTCAGCTGTTACTGAGGGTTTAGATTTGAGGCTGCTCCTGAACCAACAACAGCAGATCAGATGATTCCCGACGTTACACGCCTGCAACAATGTCGACACACACTAATAATGATAATAATAATAATAATAATAACATCTATATATGTTATTCCAGTGACATTAACATCTCTTACTGTCTGAAACAGGAGGAAATACAGGTGAATTCAGTCAGGTGGCGCCATCATACCTCTGTCATCTGAAACCACCTGAACCTTTTCCAATAAACTGAAACAGTGGTTCATATTCACAGGAAAGGCCTCAGGATTTCTTTTTTCTTTAGTAAATGCAACATGTTTCAGAATCAGGAAGGAAGTAAAACCAACGGCTGCCTGGAGGGGGAGGGGCATCAACATAAAAACTGATGATACAAGTTTATTAGACCCACGTCGACCTGCGCTGGAAATAAAAAGACTCCAGGGCCGGAGACAGACCTGGAGGAAGGACAGGTCCTGGTGCTCCAGAGCGTAGGTGACCTCCAGGTTCTCCATGACGACGGAGCAGTTGGAGTACATCCTCACCATGTTGTCGTAGTGATTTTCACGAGTCCCCAACAACGTCAGCTGGTTACTCATCCCCTGACACACTGAAAGATAGATAGATAGATAGATAGATAGATAGATAGATAGATAGATAGATAGATGTTATTGAAGTCAGTTGCAGTTCTTTTCATTGCCACTAGATGCTGCTGTTTTTCTCATTCATTGTATTGAAGTGAATGGGAATGGATGAATCTGAGGGGTCATGAGACGATCAATAATTTTGTAATGTAATTGTTTTTTCAGAATACTGGATCACTACTTAGTTATTGAAATGGAACCATGTGATCAGTTCAGAGGGAAAACGTCTCTTTTGTAAAACATCTGAAACCCGACGTCACGATCCAGAAATCTTAACCATCAAGGAACCGGTGCCTCCAGCTGCCACATAAATGTGGAGGAATTTAAGTTGCAGAGGATGGAAACGTACTTAGTTCCTCTCCATCACCGGTGTCGTCTAGATTCCCTCCCTGGTTAACCAGGCTACTGAACACTAACGTGATGAATGAGGGCAGGGTTTCATGGTAACATCCAGCCAGGTGTCACTCAGCTAGTCAGGTTTCCTGGTCAGAGGTCAGTATTTACACAAACATCCAGGGAGGAGCAGGAAGGGCTGACGGCATTCCAGAGAAACCACTTCCGCCACAAACGAGCATCACATCACCGAACCTTCAGCATCACTACAATCAGCCTGCAGGTGTGTCGCACCTGTCCAGCAGGTTTTTCCTCCACACCTGATCTGATTCAGCAGGAAACCCTCTGCACAGTTTAAAACAGGAAGACGTGACAGATGATGGAGGAGCAGCGTCTGGTATCAACAGTGACGGAGACACAGAAAGAGAATAAAACTCTGTGACGCTCTCTCTTCACCTCGTGTTTGCATCTTCATCACAAAGTGATTTACTGCTGTAATTGATGTTAAATTCTTGCATCTTTTTGGAGATTATTACCTGCCAGTTAAACATATATATTTGATTTAAATGAGGTGGACAAAATAATAGGAACCCCTCTCCATACATCACTGCAGAATAAACCTATTAGATATCAAAACACACTCCAACACAACACAGCTGCTCCCTGCCTCTCTCTGATTGGCTGATGGCTCACTCTGGGAGCAGCCCATTGGCCAGACCCTCGGGGAGAACAGTCCACATCTGGACACACAGACACAGACACAGACACACACACACACACACACACTCTTCCCATGAAGCATCTCATCACACCGTCATTTACACTTCATACTGTCTTGTCACAATCAAAGGACGTAATTATAAATAAATAAATATGTAGATTTAGTCCAATAATAATAATGATAATAAGAAGAAGAAGAAGAAGAAGAAGAGCAGCAGCATTAGACCTTCTGATCAATACAACAGTCACATTGTTTAAGTTTCTTTCAGCCTCCTCCCACTCATTCCTCCCTGTGGTCTCCTCTTTCCTTCCTTCCCCTCCCCTCCTCCCCTCTATCCTCCTCATCACTCCATCCTTTCTACTGTTCCCACATTCCTTCCTTCCTCCTCCTCCTCTTTAAAATCCCTCTGTTCCCTGAGTTTCTTTCCTCTGTGCTTCACGGCCTCATTGAACCTCCTCCTCTCTCTAACTCCTCTCCTCCTCCTCTCTCTAACTCCTCTCCTCCTCTCTCTAACTCTCTCCTCCTCCTCTCTCTAACTCCTCTCCTCCTCCTCTCTCTAACTCTCTCCTCCTCTCTCTAACTCTCTCCTCCTCCTCTCTCTAACTCCTCTCCTCCTCTCTCTCTAACTCTCTCCTCCTCCTCTCTCTAACTCCTCTCCTCCTCTCTCTAACTCTCTCCTCCTGCTGAACCTCCTCCATTAGTTTCACACTAATGTTGATATTCTCTCTGACTCTGGATCAACAGGGATGTGAGCTGGAGCGGGTCTGAGTGGCGGAGGGATACGACCGTGAGGAGGTGGTTCTAGTTTCTCCTTTGTCTCCTGAGTTTGAGCCGATACTGATTTATTTTGATGGTATTTCAGTAGGTGTGCAGCTGCAGATGTTTCTGTTGCTTTAGTTTACAGCACAGACGCAGAACAAACACATTTAATGCAGAGGTGAGTGACCGGAGTCAGAGACCCGTCAGTGTCTTCACAGCCAATCACAGAGTGAGTCAGTTTTATGACGTGACCAGGTTTGATTAGGTTTAACGAAGGATTGTGGTTCGGGTTATAATTACTGCCTTTGTTGTCATGGTTACAACAACAAACACACGGTGAAGGTGAGAGAACAACGCTCACTTGGTTTCTAAAGTCTCAGAGCAACCTGAGAAACCTGCAGCTGCATCTTACGTTAAGATTTTCCTTTAAGTCCAAATTCAGACTTAAAATAACAACTGCTGCACAAAACCCTGAAGTTTCCTCCTTAAGCTTTAATTCAAATGTTCACTGAAGTATTTAAGGTTTCCTCCTGATCTTAGTCTCACACTTACAAGTTGTTTTCCTTAGTTTGGTCTCTAAGGTCTTCACTGATTTTCAGTGATTCCTTAAGTGTCAACGACATCGATAAAGTTTAAGTTGCAGTGAATCTGTAAACGTGTCACATGTTTACACAGAGTGAAACTCTCACTGCAGGTAAAGAACACCAGCCATCACACGACTGAGCTTCTGTCTGGAAACACTCAAAGAAAAGAGACGCTGGTAGAGACGACTTCAGAGGTTCAGCTTACGCAAGTACACACACACACACACACACACACACACACACACACACACTCACACACACAATACTGTTTGTTCAGGAACAGGTCTGATCTGTCAGTGTTTCTTGGACGTCGTCTCTGTCTGTTGTATGGCACAGTGCACATGAAAGGAGTGTGCGTGTGTGTGTGTGTGTGTGTGTGAGCTTCCAGTTTCTCTAAAAACTGATAGATGGTGGTCTGTGTTGTTGTTGTTTGTGTGGTCTGTGTTGTTGTTGTTTGTGTGGTCTGTGTTGTTGTTGTTGTTGTTTGTGTGGTCTGTGTTTTGGTCTCAAAAAAATCATGAGGAAGGAAATGTATGAGGCATTAGTTGGGGACTATTCTCAGCGGCGGATTAATCCACACTTGGTGCTGTAGTGAGTATTAGTGGCAGCAGGATGTGCGTGTGCGAGTGTGTGTGTGTGTGCGTGTGCGTGTGTGTGTGTGTGTGTGTGCATGTGTGTGTGTGTGCGAGTGTGTGTGTGTGTGTGTGTGTGCG